CAGACTCCACTACAATGTAGGAACAACGGTGCACTGTCCACTCTGTAGGAAATTGTTAAAAATAGGGGGAGACCCTTAAAAATTCACCCTGAACTTGAAGACTCGTATGGAATTTATGGACCTATGAAATCAAAAAACTATTAAGCCCATTTAATTCAAAATTAATACTTAATTCTGCTATTCAGCGCGACTAACACCCGGACCTTATTGGCTTCGTTGTCCTGACACCGCCAGCGCTTCTGCCGTCACCTCCACTTCTCCCGTCTCACCCTTCCCTCCTTCATCTCCCCCCTACTATCATTGTCTTATTTCACGCATTCGAGAACCTGAGAATCTGCACATCATGAGTGTGAGTGAACCAATGTGAAACGTCCTTGATTACCTGAGTTTGCTTTCTGACGCGACTTTCCCTAGTACCAGAGCTTAGGGGATAACAACTCAGGCGGCTACGGCCAGTACAACCCGTACGGAAGTCAGCAGCAGAATCCCTATGGGGGCCAGGAACAACAGCAGAGCTATGGATATGGTGCTGGTTACAACCAGGCTGGTGCCGCGGAGCAGGGAAATGGTGGCTATGGTATGCTGATCGGATAATTGATGACCTTGCGACGACGCTGATTCATCGACAGAGATGTCCAACATCAACCAATCCGCATCTGGTGGCCCAACAGCGATTCTCAACAAGTGCAAGGATATGAACGAGGGCATCAGCGAGCTGACCAAGAAGCGCGAGAACCAATTGGTCGGTGCCCAAAAGGCCCTTTTGGACTCAAGCACCGGCAAGGAAGACCAGGCCTCGCGCCAAACACTCGATTACATTGAGGACGAGATCAACACTGCGCTGCGCTATCTACGCGACCAGTTCAAGCGCATCAAGGAGACACCGGGGTCCGGCGACCCACGCGTGCAGGGCCAGGTCGAGAACGTCAGTCGCAACCTGCGTCGTGAGATTGAGCAGTACCAGCGCACACAGAGCGACTTCCAGAAGCGCCTCGAGGAGCAAGTGCGCCGCCGATACGAGATTGCCAACCCCGAGGCTACCCCCGAGGAATTGGAGCAGGGTGTGCAGAATGTCTTGATGGGACAGGAGCAGAGCTTTGTTGTATGTTGTCTCCGAATCGATCTTTAGGGGTCAGTTGCTAATATTTGAGGAATAGGTTCCCGGTACTCGCACTCGCCAGGCCAACGATGCCCGTCAGGCCACTCTGCAGCGTTCCGCCGCCATCCGCAAAATCGAGCAGGATTTGATCGAGCTTAGCCACCTGTACAATGAGGTCGCAGAGCTTGTGCACCAGCAGGAGCCTGCAGTCCAGCAGATTCAACAGTCAGCCGAGGAGACGCACCGCAACGTCGAGCAGGGCAACACCAAGCTTGACAGCGCTATTCAGAGCGCAAAGAACGCTCGGCGCTGGAAGTGGTATGCGTTGATCATTATCAGTGAGTATTTACCCGTCTGCGCAGATCTGGCCGACCCGCTAACCTACTTTCCAGTCATTATTATTGGAATTGTCGTCGGTGTGGCGGTCGGTGTCACCAACGCCAACAAGTCAAAGTAGTGACTTTTCAGTTCCACTACAGCCCTTTCCTACCTCCTCCATGTACGACCTTTCCCAGGGATCGACGCATCTCCGCATCTTCCCATTTGTCTTTGTCCCCTCGTTATACCACCCCTTCGCATTTCCTTCTTGTGTAAAAGCAATGTCTTTCAAACCCTCTTTTCGTTGTGTCTTTGCCTCCTAGCTGTACTTGCGTGTTCGTGTACAGCTGCTCCGCGCCTACCACGCGATGGCCCTTGATGATTGTCACTACTTCGGGGCTCGTGATGTCGCGGCGCATGGATGTATATACTAGATTGTTGCTTTCTTCGGCACCCTGTTTGGCGCTAGAACCTATGTAATACCGTCTAATAATCGATTCCTTTGTGTATGAGGCTGACGTATGCCGCCGTAGCTGAGTCCCGGAACCGTAGATGATTTGTACAGTGTAATGTGATCCATTGCGAGTCATCGTCTGGGGGTATCCGACTCGATGGACTCTCTCAGAATAACGAGCACCTGAACGCCCAATCAATCGGCTATCTATGCCTTCTCATTCCTCTCCTTCTCACGCTGCTCCTCAGCCGGGGTCTTCGTCTTCAACTGCAGTGCATGCAGTCCGCCCTCGCGAGCCATCTCTTCCTTGAATAATGCGTAGACCATACGGTGCCGAGCGGGCTGCATCTTCGACTCGAAGGAATCGGAGACAATTGTCACACTACAAGAGATTAGATATCACTCGTGCAGTTCGGATGTGGGGAACGGACTGGAAATGCGTCTCCTTCGACGTTGACCCTTCCATTGCAGCGTGGTGCGCATGGAGATGAGAGTCATTCCGAATCTCGAGTTTCGAAGGTGTGAATGCGTGAGCAATCTACAAGAAAAGGGAGGAGACGTTAGCAATGGTAGTCAACGACGCGGGGGGTTGTGGCTGACCTTGTCGCGCATGACATCCTCCAACGGCGTATTGGAGGCCATCCTCGCAGAAACAGAGAACAAACGGCGAGGGAGCAGACTCGGAAGGCTGCGAGGAAGCATTTAGAAGAAAAGAAGAGAAAGAAGCGATCAAAGGGAGCAGCGAGGAGGAGAGAAACGTCCGCAGTCGAAGCCAATCGGATGCTTTTAATTTCGGAACTTCACTCTCATGACATCAATTCGTCTGTTGCTCGTCACCTCAATTGCGCCTCTTTTCAATAGGTGCATGCTGTGAGATGAATTACTAATATTAAAGATCCAAAATTCATGATGTCTGGCAGTTTACTCTCCCTGCTTTCGCGTTCGAATGCGCGCGTCTGCTTCACTCCGCGGCGAACGCCTCTCAGCGCAAGACTGTTATCGACTCTCCCCAACACACGCATCTTCCGCGCAATCCAGAACCATGACCCTGAAAGCTTGGCTATTGTGCATAGCGTCTCTTCTCGATCATTCACCTACGGTAGTCTAATTGCCGACATCGTTCGCGCTAAGGACGACCTGGAACAGAAGGCCGCGAAAGCGCAGGGCCAATTGGCTGGCGAGCGGGTTGCCTTCCTCGCGGAGAACAGCTATGACTACGTAGGTACTGTTGGATTGAAACCCGTCGAAATATATCTAGAATACTAATAAGCATATAGTGACGCTACTAGCGATCTTTGCTAGTGATGCCATTGCGCTCCCGCTCTCGCCATCATTCCCGACTGGGGAACTGAAGTATATCCTGGATAATTCGCAGGCTAAGGTGCTGCTAGCAACTGAGAAATATGCTGATAAAGGCATGGAAATCTTGCGAGAGGGATTGGAGCATGAGCCTCTATTCTCTATCCGCAATAAGCTCACAGAGGGCGGCGCATCGAGCGGCGAGAGCGTAACCGTGCACGATCTGAAGCAGCCTTCGTCCGGCGGGATGATGTTGTATACATCTGGGACCACGAATCGACCGGTAGGCTCAGTTAGTTCCTTGCAACTAAGGAACTATTACTAACTCGAAACAGAAAGGTGTTCTCATCCCCCAATCGGCCCTGGCCGCGCAAGCATCTTCACTACTAGAAGCATGGAAGTACACACCGGATGACCGACTCCTTCACCTGCTCCCCCTCCACCACATCCACGGCGTGGTAAACGCAATCGTGGCACCAATAGTAGCAGGCTCCTCAATCGAGTTCATGTACCCCTTTAACCCGGACAAAGTCTGGAAACGGCTAGCAGCACCGTTCCTCACATCCAACACCTCAAAACCAGCCATCACATTCCTCACTGCCGTCCCAACCATCTACAACCGCCTCATGGCCACCTTCCCCAAACTAACCCCAGAGCTCCAAAAAGCTGCAAGAGAAGGAATCTCCCCACAAAACCTCCGCTTGAACATCTCCGGCTCCGCCGCCCTCCCAACCCCAACGAAAACCGCCTGGACAAACCTCAGTAACGGCAACGTCCTTCTTGAACGTTTCGGCATGACCGAAGTCGGCATGGCGATTAGCTGCGGTCTCGACCCTGCAGACCGCGTGGACGGCAGCGTCGGCTGGCCGCTCCCAGGCGTTGAAGCCAGACTCGCCGATATGGAGACAGGTGCTGTCATCAAAGTCGAAGAAAAGGATCCCAATGGCCGAGAACGCCAAGGCGAGATCCAGCTCCGCGGCGAAACAATATTCGACCATTACTGGGGAAACGAAAAAGCCACGCGCGAGAGCTTCGTGCAGAGCGATGATGGGGGCGGGGCGTGGTTCTGCACAGGTGATGTAGCTACCCGTCGGATAGTCGATGGAGCTGGTAGTGGAGCGAGCGGGGCTTGGGCTCAGGGACCGATGTATTTCATACAGGGTCGCAGGAGCGTTGATATAATCAAGACTGGGGGTGAGAAGGTTAGCGCGTTAGAGGTTGAGAGGGAGTTACTTTCTCTGTATGTTGTCTCTTTTCTTTCGGATATTGACTTGAAATATCTATACTGACGATGATGCTCAGTCCCCAAATCACTGAAGCTGCGGTCGTTGGTCTCCCGTCTGAGCAATGGGGTCAGAAGATCGCTGCTATAGTTGTTCTTACTCCTGATGCGGCTACTTCAGGTCGTAATGGGCAGTCTTGGGGTCCGATGGATATGCGGCGCGCGTTGAAGGATTCTCTTGCTTCATTTAAGATTCCGCAGGAGATGAAGGTCTTGGAGGCTATCCCGAGGAATGCGATGGGGAAGGTCAATAAGAAGGCGCTTGTGAAGGAGATCTTTGGTGTTTGAAAATTGAAACAACTACACTGTACAATATTGAAAATCTACTTAGACCTAGAGTGAGGTGAGAGGTGGAGACACGTGGACTTATTACTCGCTACTCAGAGAACGCATGTACAGAACTGACCAACAAAGAAGATTGGAGAATTAGATCATTTGTTGTATTGGAAACCTAAATTGCTGGCTCTTAATTTCAAAATCGTAGCACCATGTCAAGGCCTGTGTGCCTGATCGAAAATGGAAACCAAAGCCTAGTCCAAAATGTCCACCTAGATCTTACGGTGAGGACCCTCATTCTGAGCACGGGTAGCATCTGAGTCGACACGGGGATCAAGCTTGTTGGCAATGCTTGAACGATGAGGACCAGTGGTACCAGTAGCACTAGTAGTAGTACCAGTAGCAGGAGTATTGGCAGGAGTATCGTAACTACTGCCAGCGAGAGCACCAGTATCAAGACCGGAGCCACTAATCGCCAGGCCAGTGGGAGCAACAGTAGCACCACGAGTGTGTGTACCGTGGGTGGTAGTACCGGGGCCAGTACCAGCGAGAGTGGACTGGTGCTGAGCACGGCTGTCACGGTCCGAGTCCACACGGCGATCGAGCTTGTTAGCGATGTTGGAGCTATAGGGGCCGGCAGTGGTGATGCCAGTGGTGCCGTGGGTAGATTCAACACTGGCAGCAGTGCCAGCACCAGTGAGACCTTCGTGCTGAGCACGGTCGTCGCGGTCAGAGTCAACGCGGGGGTCGAGCTTGTTAGCGATGTTTGAGCTATGGGGACCGGCATTCGTGCTGCTGCTGTCGGGGGTAGCAATAGGAGCGCCGTGGGTAGCACCAGTTCCAGAGCCCAGAGTAGAGCTGTGAGTGCCTGTAGCGGTGGTGGAGTGAGTAGATCCAACACCAGCACCGGTGCCAGCACCAGTAAGACCCTCGTGGTAGGCACGGTTGTCGCGGTCAGAGTCAACACGGGGATCGGCCTTGTTCGCGATGTTAGAGCTGTGGGGACCGGCCGTGGTGCCAGTCATGCCGTGGGCAGTACCAGAGCTCAAGGCCGAGCCGTGAGTGCCTGTAGCGGTTGTGGTGGTGCGATGGGTAGATCCAAGACTGGTACCAGTTCCAGCGCCAGTGAGGCCTGCTTCATGGCGAGCGCAGTTTTCACGGTCAGAGTCAACACGGGGATTGGCCTTGTCTGCGATGTTGGAGCTGTGGGGGCCGACAATGGTGCTGTCGCTGGTGCCCTGGGTAGATTCCACACCGGCACAGGTGCCAGTCGCACCTGAGGTACCCTGGGTAGTGCCATAGCCCAGAGTAGAGCTGCCGGTGCCTGTAGCGGCGGTTGTGCCGTGAGTTGTCCCAGGAACAGCGCCAGTCACATCGGCGTAGGCAGCACGGTTGTCTCTAAGGCAGTCAGTATCTTCCGGTATTCTGAGGGATATGAGATGTGAGGTGAGGTGAAGTGAGAAACCTTTGTCACTGTCGACGCGGGGGTCAAGCTTGTTGGCCAAGTTGGACTTGTGAGGTCCATGGTTGGAGGACTTGGTCGACTCGTGCGACTCGTCCTTCTTGCCAGTTATGGCCTCTTCGGCCTTGCGTACAAACTGCATGTTGGTATCGATATTGATGGAAGTTGCTACTAAGTAGATGTGGGGTACTGTTGATGGAGAAGTAGACTTGATTGCCCCAGACTGAGGAAAGAAGAGGGTATTTATACCCCTTTTCTATATCGATAGACTCAGGCAAACATTATAATCCATGACGCTCGTGTTTTCAATGTGATGGTGTACAAACATCCTTCAGGTGCCACGGATCTGAGATTGGGTATGATGTAAATACCTAGGTAGCTGGGTTTCCTGTTCTTACATAGCCAGCCACTTAAATCAGGGTATTGTCATAAAAAGACCAAACTGGCCATCATCCTTGATCAGATAAACACAACCTTGGAGTATATATCAAGATCCAAAACAATTGCGTCATGGTTCCCCAAGAAACATGCCAACTATATGCTGGGCAGTGTTGTACTAAAAGCACATCCTAGTCAATTCTATAGCCAACCAGCATGAACTGGAATGAGATCACTGTGACTAATGTATTTAACTTGCTCTTACACCGTAGTCCCGTAGCCTCGGCTTTGTTGTACGTTACCTTGTACTCAGACTTGTGATAGGACGAGTAGAAAGAAGACTGGTTGCTTTATTTGTCTATTAGTGGGGTTAATAACCAGCCAATGGCTTCAGAGACATGAGAACATATTTACATCTTACTTCTTTGTCAAAAGATCACCTCAGACAGTGTGTTGTTGTGTTGTAGTTACCTGCCTACGTCATCGAAACCTATAATCTTAAACATAGTTTGTAGTCACATGATTGGGATATATGGTTTACTTTCTTCTTCTTCATCCAAGCGACATTGACCACGGTATTCTGAAAATATGAGAGCCAACACTTCCTTCACCTGTGAAAGTTGCTTGGCGTGGAGCATGTGATATGAGTCTCTTGAATCTTGTGGTTCCCTAATGCCAGGCCCTGCAAAGACCAAATCCCAAACCTCGATTTGAGGCAAATAGGAGGCCTACGACTTGTGAGACCTCTGAAACAAATCATCAGCGCCGGCAGCTCCAGTGATTGGAGTGCAAATCTAAGATATATGAGACTTTGCTGGGCGAGATCATCTCTCAGGCCACTCATCACTGAGAATATATCGATCCAGAATGTTTTCAAGGTTTGCCACCCAACGTCTGCTCAAATATCTCTAGTTAACTCATCAATAGAACCACGCGGCATTATCGGACACATTATCAGAGACTCTGCGGCGAGAGTCTTTTGAAGAAACACCATGTTCCGGTGCCAAGCTCGAGGATCTCATTGGGTCACATCTCTTTACCCTGCTCGCTTAAACAAGCAGTTAGACTCGAGAAAAATATGGACTGGAGTCCCTACCCTTTCGGCAAGCCTGTTTCCCGATCAGACCATTACACCTCCAATTCAGGACTGCACTTGCAGTCGCTTTGAACGAGATCGCCTCCTTCGCCTTATATTTTCTGGGCCAGCTATGACGAGCGACGAGGAACATTACTGCCCCCAAATACATCAATGGGTTCTCAGTTGGAAATAATCTGAACAAGTACAGATCACTTCTAAGTCGTTCACTCTGATCACCTAGTCGATCGAAGATGAGGTTGAAAAAGGCTCCACCTGGGCACCAAAACCTGCTGATGTCAGCATCCGCTCGATCCGGTCCGAGTGCACGCGTCCAAGATATGTCCTTTAAGTTACATGGACGGTCTGAATTCGGTAATTCAGATCTGTAGGGTTTGCATTTCAGGCTCATAAGGATCTCTGCTGCCAGGCGTGGTGGACCCAAAATTCCTCCCCCTTGCTTGGTGACCCTGACCGTTCTCATTCATGGTTTGGCGCGACATTTACATTGAAAATTGTTGAAAGGAGTATCCCTTGCATTCAATCATAAAATACAAGCCCTTCCCAGGCGCCACAGTCTTTCGATCTGAAGATTCCAGCACCCCACGGGTCGTATAGCAGCCATGTGGATTCTCTCGTTCTGGATTTTCCCCGTGATATCCGGGTGTATGTGGATAGGTAAGGGTCGAAGCACACGAGGAATTGAGCTCACTTAACTAACGGCCTTGTAGCTACACTAGTAGCCTTGCTGTCAACCTGGGCGGCGGATGGAAAGCCAAGATACAGCACTATGAGCGATGAGGCCAGCATTCCGTGAGTACAACCAATGAACCTGCCTTCCGCCAACATAGACTGAGTCAATTGAACAACCAGTTATATTTCCCATATCGGAGCCGAAGGACTCAAACCACTGTTTATTGCAGGAAGTGTAGTAACAGTCGTATTCATGGATCTCGGTCTCCTCTCCGAGCGTTGGCTTCGCCATGCCGGCCAACTTGCCCGAAATAAAGGAAGGTTCGACAAAATCTGCGCTGTTGGATCGATTTTTTTCTCGATTGCTGGGGCTTTAGGTCTCATTCTTCTGTCCATTTTTGATACAAAGAACCATCACGACCTCCACCACGGGTTTTTGGGTATGTTCATAGCGAGCTACGTGGTCTGCGCCATCCTGGTGTGTCTGGAATACATCCAAATCGGCCGATTCTACCACCCACAAGCCCGGATCTTACTAGTCAGCTTCGCCATCAAAGCTCTTTTCGTCGCCTGTGAACTCGCTGTAGCGATTGCATTCGGCGTATGCATGAACGTTGGAAATAAGAAGAACGCATCAGCTGTTTTGGAATGGGGTACGTTTTCAACACTGTTTGATTGTGCAAAAGGAAGCTAACTAGAGTAGTTGCCGCCCTCATATTCGCATTCTTTGTCTTTTCTTTTGTCATTGATCTCCTGCCGTCCGTTCGTACTAAGCGACATGTTCCTCAGGGTGAAAAGTATACTTGGCCACGTGTGGAGGATCGCCCAATTGACTTTTAGGTCGAGAGTACAGTTTGATCTACGCAATTAATCCATACATAGGTAGATACCCGTGGAGGTCAAAATAGCCTTTGCCAATAAGAGACAAGTCTCGGACATTGGCCACATGTGGTGATATCATCCATTCCTGGGGGAAAAAGGAAGAAAACCCCGAACCTCTCGGAAAAGAAAATTAAACAATTCACTAATTTTCAAGCAATTAAATTAAATTAATCCCTGATTCTCAATATGGGCTTCTTCAGACACCCCTGTGGTGCAATGTCGACCATCGCCCATATCCTCCAATGCATCAGTTCATTGATCGTCCTCGGGATCACAGCCTGGGCAGTCCCCGAGACCGAAACGCTTACAGTGGTCTTCTCGTTGGTGGTGGTACATCTCTCTAGATCTTAATATCTTAATATGTAGAAATTCTAACTCGTCACAGGCGGTCCTCACCCCAATCGTCTATGGCATAACACTAAGCACCAGCTAGCTGCATTACCAGAGGCCACAGATGGCATGTTCTCCCTCTGCTTCTGACAGACGCAGTAATTTCCTACCTGTAAGCATCACAATATCAAGCATCCTCAGGTCTATAGTAGTGAATGCTCATCTCCCACCCAGCTGGCTCACGGCATTCATCTTCCTGGCTCTGGATTTCAACCATGTCAGCTGCACCACCCACCTCTGGAACAACGAGACGGTATGTAGCAGGAAGTATGCGGTCGAGTCGTTCAGTTTCATTGCATTGTAAGTGCCATTCTTTTGAATGTGAATCCACTGGCTAATTGCATGGCAGCTTTACTACAGTCTGGGCTATGGCATTCGAGGTTCTGTATACCTACCTGCCGATGAAGGATGCCTCAATGCAGGAAAAGGAAAACAGGGTGATGAGCTTGGAGCATAATCTCCGGGGTGCCGGGTTGATGACCCCTTGAGCAGAAACTGTTCACAAACGCTTCATAGCGATGTCCTCCAAGGCGTAAAATCCTTAAATTATATAACGATTGGCAATGTCTATTGGAGATGCATATAATACATTATTGTACAACTAGTCACCGAAATCAAGCCCATTCGCCCTTCCTCTCAAACGGCTTCACAAACCTGGTCGCCTCCATAGTCACTTGTAGAGTCGCCATATCAATGGCAGTGATATGAGCTTCGACCATGCAGAAGATATCCAGCTTGTCTTTATCTGGGAAATCCTGCGGGATGGTGACCGAGCACTTCACACCAAGATTGGTGATGACACCCGAATACTCCTCGTCCAGATGCCTAGGCTTGGTGCGCGGGGTGCGTAGCAGGCATGGGAATGTGACGGGGAGGTTGCACTCGGAGAAGTAGAATGCGCGGAAGAGGAGCATACAAGCCCAATGCTGTGCCGAATATCTGTCGAGACTTCTGAGACGTGTGCGTAGGGGCTGGGAGTAGATGAGGTGGGCGTCGATGTCAGATTTGGAGAAGGGGAGGAGAGAGGTGGGGGTGGTGTTTGTGTCATTGGTGATTTCAGTGGCAGTCTCTGCTAGATCTGTCACTGCTGGATCCCTCTCCACTAGATCGATCTCTGCAGGATCCGGACTATCAACAAGAGTGTCAAACTGACGGCCGTGTTCGTGTTCGAAACGCAATGCTGCCTCGATTTGGTAATGGGCAATAACATCCGTGTATCGGCGCAGCGGACTGGTGCTCTTGACGTACGTATCCAAGCCCAGGGTGTGGTGCTTAGTTGGGACCGTGGAAGAGTAGGCCAGCGGCACGCTGAGTTCATAGAAACCCTCACCGCCGAAATTGGCCAAGTTTTTGTTGGTGACGCGTCCGTACTCCGGGTCATACCAGGTGCCATCGTAGACAACAGGTATATTGCGTGCGGCGCAAAATTGGCCGGAGATGTGCCCGGCGAGATTCATGATCAGGGACACCAAATTGTCCCGGGATTGGTCGCGAACGTCGTATGGATCATAGGACTGCATATTGAGCCGAATGACTGGATCACCGAGATAGTGGCGTCCGGTTGTGGATTGTAAATCGTACAGCGGCATCGGGGCATCGCCTGACTGGACCGAGACAGAAAGATCTGGACTAAGAGGAGTGAGGTCCATGGCGCCGTTCTTTCTACGGGTTTGGCGGAATGCGAGCATGAGTTGACGCATGATATGGAATCTATCTTTGTCCTCGGGGCGCAGGCCTTCTTGAATTGTTTTACCGTGTGGTATTTGTGGTTCGGTGAACTTGCCACCTATGGTGAAGGATTCCAACTGGTCTTCGGAATCTGGGTCGAAGAAGTCGCGTAGTGTTTTGTGGGTGAGATTGATGACATTGTGAATTGTCCCGTTTTTGATCTCACTATCCAATATCTCTCCTCGAAGATTCATCTTCGCACTGAATGTCAGTACCGGCCGACCAGCTGCCAAACTGAAGTGGGGCTCGGTGAGAGCTTTGGGGAGCATAGGATAAGTGCGTTCCGGGATGTAGGTGGTGAAGAGTCGTGAGGCTGCATACTGGATGATAGGGTTGTCATGCTTGATAAAGGCTGTTGGATTGGCAACGTGGACATGCACCCAGAATGTATTGTGAGATCCTGGGATAGGCTCCAGTGATATACCGTCATCAATCTCTTGCGCCGTCACATCATCCACACAGTAGACCGGAAGATCTCCCCAATCCTTTCTCAGGTGTTGCATGGAATCCTGCAACTGATCGGCAGTGAGCTTGCTGCAAGAGTCCTCAATCTCTTCCAACTCCATGTCCTTTGCGAGGGATATCCCATGCCCAGGAAGCATCAGATACTGGTCAAGGGGTAGAAGGTTCTCCCAAGGCGCTATTATGCCGATCTCCTGCAACAAAAGACGTGTCGAAGCCTCACTCAGACCGAGAGTGTTGTACATCCCAGTGGCACGCATGATATGTGTTGCTGTTGATCTCAAAGTACCCGACGGCATGACAATGGCAGGGACCGAGTACAGCTGCAGATATTCAATGATCATTTGGTCATCTGCACTGAACTTTTCGGTGGGCAGTTCGCGGAACACTAGTGGGTTTCCATCCTGACCAGGCGAATATCTGTTGGAGGATGGTCCCACACTGGACATAATAGTTGGAGAGCGGAGCCTTCTGCTAAGGCGAATCAACCGCTGTGCTTTGCTGATAAATCGGTGCATAGGGTGATCTTTGGACCCCGGGGAATCCTTGCGCATTGTGGCACGAACACAATGTTCTTGGTGTTCATGAGTCCAGTCAACGACCTGTTTAACAACAATGGCGATCCGTTTTGGTTGCACAATATACATCCGGCTGAACAAGGACGTGCCATCCTTTTCGATCAGGAAAGGATGCCGGCGAACAGCTTGATGAACAGCAAACATGTTGACGCTGGTAAGCTCAGATTCCTCAATGCCAAGAGCAGTTGTTGTCAATTCTTCAAGGCTCAAGCAGAGAACTTCGGTATCATCTGCCACCTTGTCATGAAGATTATCCAGTATCTGGGAGTTTTCTCTATAGAATTTCAAGATATGCGTCTTGAAGTTGCTCATCATTCTCAGAAGAGGAGCACCGAGTGGCCTCGGAAGGCCTCCCTCGGGGGCCAGCTGAATATCTTGGCTTGCGACAGCCTCGCCATCCGGGAACCATGGCGTGAGAGGCTCGACAAGTTCAGTAGGTGCAAATCCTTTGATAACGTAGTCAAGCTCCGTGTTGGAGCAAATGCGCCAGTTCCCGTTGCCATTATAGAACTGTTTCTGTTTGTGAACGGACCGCACGTAGATTCCGTAATTAAACACCCCGTCTGCATTTAAGCGGGCAATTAAGTCGCCTTGCTCGAGGTGTTCACCTTCGAATTCATCTTTATCCATAGCCTCTTGGTTCAACCTGTTCGGGTCACCCCAAGCATCGATTGTGTCGCGGCCGTTAGGCATTGTGCCAATCGACTTGCCCGGTAATTCCAATGGTCGATGCTTTGAGTCAGATCGGCGCACCGGGTCCAAATCATTGGGGTTGGTATCCCGCCACTTCTTTAGGTACTCTCGAATGTCTCCATGCAATTCTAATTGGGACCGAAGGAAGATATTGCTATCGATGGGAACTTTTGGAGGCTCGTCTAGCTCGGATGTTTTCTGCTGAGACGGAACACAATTTAGCGGGGAATACCAGCCTCTTTTTTAGTATAACATACCTCGCTCTCGGCTGGAACGGCTTCAGCTGACCCCAATGTCCTCGTATTGGACAAAAAGCGTCGCCCCCCAGACAACACCGGAAGGTGAGTGGCAGACGCCGTCGACGTACATTCTGCTCGGTTCTGTCGCCATGTGCAGAGTACAGGTGACAGATCTGCACCAGTCAGCTTCTGCAAAGCCCTTATTCTTATAAGTGCCATTGTCAGAGCTTGCGCAGAATGAATGCGCCGCTGGCTCGAAAACTAAGTATATTCTGCCGGCAGCTGCTATACCGCCAAGGGCGGTATAAAAGTTGTCCCGTGATTTTGATATTTCGACCAATCATATCACAGGACAGAAGTATAGAATGTTTATATGGTGAGAACCTTGTTTATATTGTGAATACTAGGTGGATAGTTGAATACTAGGTGAATAGTCATATCCGCATGTCTAGATTAAAGCTTAGCTGATAACCTTCCTCCATTACAGTATCCACCATCAAACAGTCATAGAATTATAACAGATCGATATTAATCGGTCCACGGGTATCACGCAGTCCATCTAGGTCATAAAATACAAACGTATAGATTCACAAATAGGCCATATTATATTCGATAGCCTCTGAGCACAACCAGTGGAATTCGACTACGTAGTATAAAGCCGTGCCTGGTTCCTGTCTCGGTACAATGGATTCGTCGAAACAATGCTAACTAGTAGGATGTTGTGGGTATACCCAGTACATCTTCAAACCACTGGTCATCTCCCAAATCCATTGACTGCATCCAGACAATCTGATCTAGATCTGGAATATGGTGATGGTGACCGGTTGTGTCAGGGTCGGCACTCCGACACGGCCTAGTCTCCACGTCTTGTAACTGAGAACCCATGGTCCATCGAGCTTCAGCCCACAGCCGACATCTGGTCAAAAGCTTGGATAAAAGCTTGAGTAAATGGTCATCGCACTGCAGTTCCTCGCTGCTTAGGTCAAGCTTCTGCAGCATACAGTCCATCGTCGATGTTAGGTCGATGATGTTCCGCACCGCTTGGCTATCCCATTCTGGGTCTTTGAGTGTTGATAGATATTTCAAAAGTGTGATACTCAGAATCATCTGTGACCAAAAGTGAAAGGGTTGGCCGACAAGTTTCGAGCAAGGAATTCTGTAGAACTCGTCCAGCCATGACTTGATATTCTCAACCGACTGCCACAGACACTCGAGGCGTTGGAATTCCAGTAACATCCCACCGTCACCAATTTGTCCAGATTGGCCGAGCGCAGGCGAATCTCGACTTATAGAATAACCGAGCTGATTTATGTATAATCCGACGTATTGAGCGTGTGTATTGAGAATGTCTGCATGTTAAGCCGAGGTTCCCCCCAGGTAAAGATATCAGCAACCACAGCGGAGATAATCTGCCAGGTTATTCACTCGAGGTATATCTTACCTATCTGGTGGTGATGTTTGGGGAATGAAGATCTCAGTTCATGGAGCTGCGTTCGCAAAGTTTTGAGATACAGGAAGCGAGGAGCTGAGGCCGCCACAGGGGCTGTCCCTGTACGAGCGCAATCTATCTCATCCTGTTGTCGAACATGATCCGCTCTTTGTTTTAACAGCTGCAAGCGTACTTGAAAAACGAATACTTCATCCGCAGGGCATGATTTGCTTAGTGTGATGACTCGAAGCGCATCTTCCATCTGAGGCGTCCATCGTATAGCATCTTGACGCCCAAGGTGCGACGAAACACTAGGGATAGCCATAGGCTGTCAGTACGTGTTGGCCGTAAGAGAATCACCAAGGTTATGCGCACTTGGAGCTCAAAATAAAGCAAGCTAATAAAGCCCTCTGGTTTTCCAAAAAGCCGTCGGTGATTTGATCGTTGGGGCTCGTTTCGTCGGCCTCTCCCTGGGTAATAGACATCATGGCTTGCACGTCTGGCGTGGATGGTTTAAACAGCCGCAGATCATACACTAGCGAAATAGCAAGCATCATCAGGCGAGAGACAAGGTCTGCTCTGCCAAGAAAAGCGTCGGTACTCCATGCTAGGTAAATCAATACGCCAAGTAGCAAGTCGATATTTGACTGGAGTTCGAGCAAAGCAGACGTGGATAGTACACGCTTTAGCTCCTCAACTTGAGTCAGTCTTTCCTGCGTCGAGAATATGGTAACTGTCTGGATCGCTTGAAACAAGAAAGGCCTGTTTTGGCGCAGATACAAGCTTGTCATGTCTGGAGTAAGATTGATGAAAGGGAAATACGGCAGCATTCGCGACCGAAAGAAATCGAGCCGGGCGTCTGCTTGATGTGGATTCGGTGATGCTGTGGGGGTCGAGTCCGTCGCAGATTTCGGCCCCTCACTGACACCCAGCCCAGAGCTGGTGTTTATCAGGGTGCCACCTGAATAAAACGTAGAGGATGAAATGCTGTTTCCGCCAAGGGACTGAACTGGTTGAAACGGCTGAAGGACGTTGACGGAAGCCCCCGAAGCCCCCTGGGAAACGAATGACTGCATTGCAGACAGCAAGATCTCCATCTTATCTTCTAGCCGAGCGATGCGCGTATTGGACTCTTCGGTAAGCTGAGCATTGCGCTTGCGAACCGACTCTGATGGCTGACACCTTTTCTTGAGACGGAGACATCTGACAAAAATAATTAGCCGGATGTCATCGGATTAATAGGCCGTTTGTCATTTTGACCTTTCACACTTATCGCAGTTTGCGGTACGGACACATCGGCTCTTTGCCTTGTAGCAATGCGTGCAAGCTTGGCCATAGGTGCTAGATTGGCAGAGGGCCGGCTTTGATCCCTCCATATTGCCTGGATAAGCTATGCTAAAAAACAGGCAGGTGGACAGGAGTCCAAGGTACTTTGTTGTTTGGAGGGAACCGCCGGTAACTCCGGCGTTATATCCGTCTCAGACGGATTTGGCCTCCTAAGTCCGCACTCTGTGCTTTGATACTGTATAGTGAAAAGTCTTCCTATTAAAGAATGCTCGAAACGGTTGTGGTCCTGGTGATTGAAGCTGTAGCGGAATTGGGCAATAGCAGACATTATCCCGAGTTTCGCAGTTTTCGCGATGTCCTTGGCCCGGTCTACGTCCTATATACATGGAGTTTCGCCCTGTGAGCGCTTATAGCGAGAACACTGGGGAAGGCTACTCATCGTGTTCATATCCAGCTTGCGACGGGTGGCGAGAATTAGCCAAGTCAATAAATGAGTAGTGTAATATTAGGATGTTCTATAAAACTACACACCCAAGTTCTATCCTGAACAGAGCCGCTCTCGAATAAAAACGACATCAGACAACTCTTGTGGGTCGGAAAGAATCAATAGTATCCAAACCACATCGGTGGAATATCCACCTGAAGAAAGCGACCATAGCCTTCTCTTGACCAGTGGCCTACTTGCCACCCAGCACTACTTCGTCTCTTGCTGATTTGCTGTCACCGCTGTTGGGAGAATAGTTGGTAATGGCCTGGAGATCTTTGACCTTGCGGATGTCCTTCCATCCAAGTCCGGGAGAAAATACCAAGACGGCGAGACTGACAGCGATACCAAGGTACATCACGTTGTCAATACTTTTAGCGTAGGCCGCGAGCACAGCGGTTAGCTGGGATCCCGATACAAGGCCGCGAATAGAGCGAACTCCTGCAGCGACGATAACTTCTGGGGTGTGGCCAATTTGTGTAGCACGCTGCTGAAGCTCGTGACGAAGGGTGTTGCTGAAAATGGCGTTTGCGGCGATCAGGGAGGTGGAAGCTCCTATGTTTTGCCAAAATATGATAATAGCCATGGCGAGAGGGATCTGCTCTGCAGACACGAGGTTTTGTATAGCGATGTAGGGCTAGAGTAAAGCCGCGGATCAGGGGATGGAATCATCTTTTGCTAACGATTGAACTTACAGCTGCTCCCGTGCAACCGCTTGCAACACCGTAGAGAATCTGGTATCCGATCCATCGTGCAGCTGAGGTCGTAGGACTTAATGTGGACAAGAGCCCGTAACCAATAGCTGATATGGCACCTCCTGCAATAAGAAATGGAAGATAGTAGCCCAAAGCCGAGACTAGGGAGCATCGGTGACCGTCAGTCAAAGGGAACTTTACGACGGATCAAAAATAAAACCCACGACCGTAGACACTTACTCAGGGCTCCCGAAACCATAGTAAACACCACCAAACCGAGCGTGATTGGTAGCATGTGCACGCCGCTCATCAAGGGCGAGTCATCCAGTATTGCCTGGAAGTAAATTGCAATGTAGAAATCAGCCACGAGGACGCTGGACAGGCTGAAGAACATCGTCATTGCAGCCGACCAGATGACTCGGTGTCTGAGCATGGCAAATGGCACCATGGCCTCGTCTCCCTGGTAATACTCCCAGACCAGGAAGAGGCCAAAGGCGACGGCAGACCCAACCAGCAAGCCGATCACAATTGAACTGTTCCAGGCGTGTTGATTCCCGCCAAACTGGAGCCCTAGGAGGAACATGACGACCGCGGGGCAAATGAGCATGAATCCTGGAAGATCCAGAGATTTGATAGCGGTGCCGAGAATCTCTAGCGGTGGACTCTTGGGTTTCTGTTCGGGGATAGTGTTGAAAAGAAGAAACGCGCCGACAATGACGCCTAGAGGTAGATTAATGTAAAAACCTAACACAAGGGCCAAATTAGCCTCTAGAGATTAATGGCAGATGAGGTAACGCACACCACCGCCAGGACACCTTTGTGGTAAATGCCCCTCCGATTATAGGCCCCGTCGCAAGGCCCAGCTGGCCCATGCCCATATTGAGCCCCATAAAAAGCGCCTGTTTCTTCGTTGGGAGGACGGCGGAAATTGTTGTCAGAGCGCCGTTAGCGACTCCAGCGGAACCTGCGCCGGCGATCACACGGCCTATGATGAACATGGGCGACGACTGGGCCGCTCCGCAAATGGCGGAGCCAACCTCGAATATGAAGAAGAAGACAAGAAAGCTCCACTGTATTTTATCAGAATTTATTTTAAGTATTTGCCATGAGCATGTCATATACCTTTATTGAAAACTGGCTGTAGATTTTGCCGCTCAAAGGTTGGAACGCCGCACTTCCGAGCTGGTAGGCGCCGCCATACCTACGCAAGACAGATTAGTACAAGGAAATAGCACCGGTGCTCAAGATCAGTCAACGTAAACCTACCAACCTACGTCTACCAGCGAGTCGAACCGGGAGGTAATGGCTGGGGTGGCCGTGGAGATGACGGCAAGGTCAAGGAAGAATAGGAAATAAGCCAGAGTAACTGATGTAAGGGTAAGGGTGAGTGAAAGCCCAGTAGGATACCCATGCTTGGTCTCATCATCACTGGAGGCACTTTTCACGGGGCTATCTTGCTTCTGCACCAAGTGGTCCTGATCAAATGTGTTTGTAGGAGGCATGTCCGTGGTGTGAGGGCTCGTCTTAGCCATTGCAATATGTAAATAGTTGTCCAATATGCTGTGTTTACAGGACATGTGATTTTCCTAGTAGGTTGCCGCGTTGACTACCTGATCATGATATGCTTGGAAGACATAGGAGCGAATATAGTGCATTTATACTCGAAGTATAAAGTAGGACGGAGTCTGCTTCCGAAATCCGCACAGGCAATTCTTGCAGAGTGAACCGGATTCTGCTTCCTAAATCCTAGTTTAATCTGCCTCGTCTGTCCATTTTAGGTAGTTAGGGTATATCTCTAGTTAACCAGCAAACTCCATAGGGGCCGATTCCGGTCCCCAAATGATGCAACCTTGGCGCGACGTAAAAGCGCCCATCGGAGGAAAGAGAGGAATGAAGCTTGCAGTTAAACAGAGGCTTCAGGGCTAAGTGCTCCTAATCTGTCAGGAAGACAGTCTAGAGATCTACTATATGGAATGGAGTGTTTTGGAAAATCTTCAAGTTGCGTGGAAAAAGAAAGAAACTATCTAACGTATTCCACTACCGAGTCGGCCATCCCAAAACACATGGTAAATGTGATAAATTACAACTTGATATCTTAACAACGGTAGTTTATATAGAGCTTTCCTAATAGCTTAATCTTTTTAGGTGATATCTAGCTTCTCTAGAGAGTTTAGAAAATATTTATGACTTTATGATTGCCATGTGCATATTTCTGGCTTTGAGCAACGTAATTTTCAATAGCGTGATAATGTAGCTTTTAGATTTTCTTGAAATTAATATATAGTGTTTAAAAGCCTTATCAATAGCTATCGAATGACAATGAAATCAAATAATAACATGGTTATTACGATATGAGATTACAAAATATCGCATTGACTATATGTTTTGGGATGGCCGACTCGGTAGTGGAATACGTTACTCGCCTGAGAGTAAATGTAGGTAACTACATAGGTAGTAGCGCTAATATTTGTAAGTAAGGTAGAGGAGGTGGTTAATTAGATAACTGCGAAGTTTTCTTGAAAAAGAAATGCGGATGTCACTAAGGTTGTCTCGTTTTACCTCTTGAGGGTGGTAGGGCGTTTTATGAACTAAACAGACCTACCAAATATCTGTAAGTAACGTATTGTAAAGCCCACTGAGGCTCAATTGACCACCCCCCATGGGATACTCGATCCCTATTTCTTCGACCTCCAAAGCCCTGGTTCCTCCGAGACCCCATCATACATCATAGGAGGCCGGGAATAGTACGCATCCCAATCTGCCGGTTTCTCTAGAGTATTATACCACCACACATAAGTATCCAAGGGAATATACATCCACCCAACCGACTCGAAATCCTCGTCCGTCTCTCCATCATGCCAATTAGGGTGTATTTAGTATTTCCTCTCCTTGGCGATCGAATTACCCCACGGTCTTGACAGAATCTTGATAACAGGATCCGTCATGCGCTCAAGCGACTCCAGACAGATATCGTCCACAAAGAGGCAAAAGTTGTACCGTGTGCCGAGTAGATATTCTGGACCTGCCCATTAGTACTATCAGATTGAAGATCTTTCAGTACTTCGGCATTCGCGACGATTTGGGGTAGTTCATCTGCAGCCCAGGCGTTGAAGTGGTCGCGAGTATCATGTGATGTAGCTCCGTTGAATTTCTCGATATCGTCATTGATGACAAGCTGATTGTGTTTTAGAAGATCCATTCTCTCGTTAGATTCAAGATTATACTTGATGTTTTCTTCTAGCTGTCGGAGCAGGCGCCTCCAGGCGGTCTCATCCTTGTAGGTGCAGCGGTAGATGGCGAATCCCCAGACCGAATTTTTTTATAAAGTGATTGGAGCGGGAAACATGGATGTTCTTGTAACTGTCAAACGTGTTGCGCGTCTGCTGATGTTGTGGCATTCTGGCGATTCTGCGAAGGCTCGTTAGAGAGCTCTGTAGTAGACAGCGCTGTGGCAACGCGAAAGCGATATGAGTGATGGCAGGACGTGAAAGTGACATCAAGCCAGGTTGGGATCCTGTGTTGTGGATAGATACACGATATTCAAAAACGGGACTCTGAAGAGTTGTAGAGGAGACTGGGGTAGGAGTAGGAGTTTCAACTATCGAAACGGATTTTCCCAGCAGTGTCACATGACCAAGAATTGGCTGTTTCCTTCGAGGAGACAAGTGCCATTGCAATTCGATTGTAGTGCTACGAGGTCTTTGGAGACACGGGAAAGACGTGGAATCGGGCAAGCTAGATGTGTACGGTCGGCTGTTTACTGTCGGCCACAACTACGGCGCTGCATGATGAACACGAAGAGCACGGTAAGAAACGGTGAAAATCTAGATTTTCAATTTTAAAACTTCTCCTAATGCCTCCTTCACAATATAACCTTGATCTGGTCGATAGCCTTTTTCAATTGCTCTGCTGCATACACCCACCAGCTTTGACACCGAATCACCCGATGAGCCCCCTAAGGGAAGCTTCTGATGAATCAACGCGACTCTGGTCACGAGAAAATCTTGTACAAACTGCACGATTGTTTCATAGAAAGCCGGTTCAAACTCTTGCCAATGGCCTGCATTCCTTTCAGCTCCGGCATAAATTTATCAGCAAACCCGAACTCCTTTGCAAGGTCTGCTCGTGCCACATCGACATGGGGGCGAAGCTCGGGATAGTCCAAATAATTGAAAACACCAATTGTCTGGTCTCGCTTATCAGCGCTGAAGGTTCACAAAATGCATGTCACAGAAAGTCCCGGAACTCACCTTTCGCAAAGTGCCCAAAACCTGCTTGGTAGGATCCAACTTGGGGTTAGTTGAGACGACGCCGTTGGCTATATTTTTAAGATGAGTATTGACATTGTATTGTACTGTCTCCAAATGTTCATCTTGATGATGTTCATGTCTTTCACAAGGTAGGACATTCCCGTGCGATAGGAGTAGGAACCTAAGATATCAAAGACATGACGTTTGGAGTCACCGGTATTACCCACTCCTTGACGTCTTTGACAAGTTCTCCTGCTAGCGGTAGAGAGACATCGTATACTTTGTTCCAGCCAGCCATAAGGTTCGCCGGACTCAGCTTTGCGGCTTTAATGATATTTCCGTTCGGCAGGATCCCTGACAGTGTTGTTTCTAGAGACCTGGGTATGTATCATATTGAACTGATTCCTTCACCAGTTATTGCTGTTTCCAAGACCGGGAAAATGTGTAAGTAACACTGCTCACCTCCATAAAATGCTCCGCGTTATAACCAGTTTTTGGAAGGTCGGCCAGCCTGGTGAACTGCATTGCAGTGGAGGAACACACATCTTGCAACATGCTTTGAATGAAGTCTGATCAGCCGATTTGACTTCACTGTTGAGTTGAAGATTTGGGAATGCAAAAAATAAGACCTACCTGAAGCCTCCGAAGAGAGACATGGTAGACGATCCATCTCCTTTGAATACGTTTATCCCGGGTGGGTAAATTCGGGGATTGATAACCATGGGCTTCTGAAATAGACTCGATCCCGTGATTAGGTCAACGGCTAGCTTGAATGACCGCGACTTGCCGGGTACTACCCCTGCTCTTGGCTCGATAATATGGGGGATCCGTAGCTCCTCATTTTCTTGCCATTGGGGACCTTATAGAAACGTTTGCTGGCTAGCGTATAGTACCCATCACCTTTACCTACAAACCCATCAACCATGTCACAATAGGAATAAAAGCCACTATAAAAATCGCCATCGCATATCAAAGTCTGGAGGGCCGTCTGATTGGTAGTGCAGCAAAGTGCCTTCTTTCGACCCCCTATCAGTTTCGTCAAGTTAATAATAATTCACTTTGCTCTCTTAGGTTGGAATATGAACTCACAGCTGCATGCACTATAACTGTCGCCTCAGTTGTCTATGGCTAGGGTGATCTCTTCTGCATTACAAGTATTGTTAGCACAATCGCCTTTGCCCACCTAGTAGCAATTTTTAAGGGGAATGGGTTCGTTTTTAGGGTAGTAATAATGATTGCCATAACTAATGGTCGTGCCTGATCTCGTGCGATCCCACTGATAGGCGACGCTTTCCTCGTCGTCCCTACACTTACTATTACTTTTTCTAGGGATAACGGTATCAGCTTTCTATCTATAAAAGCGAAATGTTTAGTGGAGTCAAGAATTCTAGGACGAGACTCACACGCCCTTAGACCAGTAACAACTTTCCAGAAGATTGTCATATAAACCCATCTCACAGTAGAAAGCTTTTCCTCCTCGACCACACTTCCCGGTCCCAGACTCGCCTGGTATGCCACCCTAGCTGGACGAAGAAACCTGGAGTTCGCCAGCATAACATTATCTATTACAGTCACTATAAGCTGGACCGCCCCGCTATTACAATTTTTCAAGCCGCTATCTGTAGGGTAGTAGATAGGCTTCCTATAAGTGCCCTAGCTGGAGTTAATATATAGCTCACTCAATAGTATTGCATATACTTATATCTTTTCCTTTACAGCCTACTTTGTTATGACCAACCATGGTCTATAGGGAGCAGCTAGCTGCTTAAGGGTTGTCTAAATTAATAGCCCCCTCAAACTTGTGACAACCACCGCTAAGGTAGGTCTTAATGATACTAACTAAAGGTTGTTGCTTATCTGCTTGAGCTAAGCTCGATGATTTACCTAGCTCATCATTTCCTATAAGTGCTTTGTAGGTATTCTATTTGTAATCACCTATAGAAGTTAGTCGATTACTATCTATATTACCCCTTCGCTTTTGCCGAAAGATTTTATACCTAAGTCCGAGGCCTAAATAAGCGAATTAGAGAAGCTAATACTATTCGCCCACTCGACCTTTTGCTTGAAGGTGCCTTCACTATCATACGAGATCCACTAGTTGGTGTCCTATATGAAGTACTTGACCGCTGCCTCTTTGTTATATATGACCTTAATATCGGAATTGTTTGACAAGATCTGTTGAACCTTAGTAGGCAAGATCTTCAAATGTTAGACTCTAAGCCACGATATACGAATAAGTCAGGATAGTTAAAACTTATAGCCACTAGTGTCCGTGCATATACTAGGTTTCGCACTACCACTGAAAGTATAGCTAGGGGCGGTGCAGCTAGCACTTTTAAGGGTAAAGGCTCTGCCGTAGAACCTAAAGCCTATTAAAACCTGAGATGGCTTTGCCTTAGCTCTCTATAGAGGCTCGGTAGCTAGTTTTATCTTAGTTAAGTTGGTGTGTGCCTGAACGATTGAGCCACTGCGAATTAAGTTAGGTACAACTTAATACTTCGTTGAAAAATGAAGAGAATGTCCTTGCATTAGATTGCTACTGTCCTAGATCCTATACAAATCGTATGACATCTATTCAGGTTAGCTGATACCTTAAACCCGTACGGTTATAACTTATCAGATTCATCTAGTCGGCGTATTTGAGCATGTTTGACAAATCGAACTAGCGCATATACCAATATGATGACGGCGTAGTAAAGGTAATACCTAAAGCCCGTCCGGAATCTTTGAAAGTGCTACGGAGCTCTTTAAGCAACTGCACGTAGTTCCTAGTGTCCTCTTTGCTTCCCCCGCGATCTCTAGCACCAGGATATTCCCTACACAATATCAGCTAAGGGTTGATCAAATAGGGATTGCTGGTATAATACTAACAATGTCAACACCATCAAAGCCGTATTGATTTAGAAATAATAACGCATTCCTTGCAAATGCCTTTCGATTCGACGAACTCTTTGCAATATTGCCGAACGCAGCTTGGGTAACGGTGTTATTGTCAGAGAATGTCCATCCACCGATACTCACGAAGATCTTCAGATCTGATTTGGTCAACTTTAGGGCTGCAATATCGTCAAATAGTGACACGGGGGTGGCGACGTCCATTGTCATGATTTCAAATGTCGATAGGTTGGTATATGCAAATGTATAGTTAAGATGAGTGAGGGCATCCACTAGACGAACAATCAGACTAATCGCCCGGGTATTTCCATTTTCGTTTCCAGGATTTTGAACAAAGTCTTATAGGGCAGATCGCTAGGTGAAGTTTGATGACACTTTGATCGATCATTCCACGCTTCGTAGTAGCCAATTACTAAGTCAAATTAGCCATGCTAGCGATAACTGAATGCTCGATCTCATACCTTTTGAAAGCGTCTGGCTTTTTAGAGATCCGCCCGGGGGAGTAGGATGTACAACGCAATCTAACTGACATGTATCATCGCAGAAGTCTGTCACCCGTTATTAGAGAAACCTTGAGTAGATTGAGCAGTCAAATTCAGATAGAACTAACCGCTCGTTGTTCCGCAAAAGCCATGTTGAGAGCAGCTTCATTCAATGGTTAGTTAACAATACAATACGGCGGAGCGTCGGGGCCAGGGCTCACCAGGTATTTAGTAGACAAGTCACATTTGCCGGGCTTGAATACTTGAATACTCGCCACACTCAGCGGTAGCATCGCAGTTACTCAAGCAGCCAGTACCATAGTAGGTTGGGCCATAGCCACAATAGCCGCCGACAGGTGTTGACGAGGGAGGTTAGCTTTATTCCTACCACTCAAGATTCGAATGTCATACTACCACAGCAAGCTCCGTTGTTACAAGGATCTGGAGAAAATTTATCAGTCACGAAGCAGAGGGGCTGGCATTATAAAACTTACTGGCTGCATTGCAGCTGTAGTTATCACGACGAGGTAGAGAATGATCCGTGGGACGTTGTGCGATAGATGCTTGGTGGGAATGTCCCCGGTGGTGGTCATGTGCAAGCCGAGCGTGGACATAGGGCGAAAAGGACAGAAACCAGATGACTTGAAATAATGTGTTCATTTTACGTCAGCCTCTAGTCCCATATGCTGGGTATTATGCTCGAGAAGAGAATATTGAGATCGAACAAATTAGGAGATCTAGGACTCTTAAAATACAAAGCATTCCCTTTGGCCGACGGCTTAGGTCCATATCTGTCATGAAAAAAATCATTACTCTCGTGCAATTCTATCTTGTTGAAAACTAATTTACTTTCACGCTAGAGCGCATCTCGGCAAAACACTGAGGCCGTTGTCCATATGCAGGAAACGAGGACTTGATGACTGGGCATCTGGCCTTCCGTCCCCCGAAGCTCAAATAAACGCTGGCACATCCGCCATAATTCGCGGTCGTTGGGCCGGTCGAGCTGGAAATTCGCCCTTGCTTCGTCGAGACTAGCCGCGAAACATCTACTCAGTCGGTAGTGGGGCGAGAGGGGGTGAAGGTAAGGTTATCATCCACACTCGATGCCTTATGTACCGTGTATCACTGGCCTGCGTTGAGAGTGACATCTGCAGAAAGTCCGCGCTGTCCGCATCCGTGCTCTCGCTCGCGTCGGTGGTAGTGTCAATAATAATAGGCGCGTCACGGGCGTGACCAGCCGCGTCTCGGATCGGCAGACTGCTCGGCTGAATCAGTCGCTGCACTCCGTCTGGACAGTTTTGCCTTGCCTGATAGCGAGAACCGCCTCCCAAGGAATTCATAGTGAGCGAAGTGGGGTCAGGTGTATTTCTGTAGCTTTTAGTGGAATCGGCGGTAGATGGTGATCGGTTGGGGGGGGGGGGGGGGGGGGGGGGGGGGGGGT